GAGACCCGTAAGACCAATTCTCAACCCTTGGATTAGATCTACAATCTGAAAATCTAAACATTCACAAAACGTCACGAGAATTCTCAATAATCACAAAATTATCACCGTCAATACCATTAGATCATTAACTTATAAAGTTGGTCAATGAACATAAATTGGTCTCACGGGACTCACGAAAAACCATTGTGAACCCAACCCTATATATATATATAGTATTAGTAAAATCAACTTTTTTAACTTATGGGCTATGACCCAATTATATCCCTAAGACCAATATAAACTCTAATATCCAACATAATCAAAATGGACATTTAATCTAAAATTATAAATTATATATGTTTTTTTTAGTTTAATATTTAAAGTCCATTAAAGATTCAAACCACCTAAACCGGTCAGACCAGACCGTCTTTTCCTGGTTTGGTTTGACCGGTCTAAGCACTTGATATCAAACCGTTCGGTTTGAAATTTTTATAAACCGCCATTACGGCTTGGTTTGTGGTTTGAGGGGTTAAACCGTCCAAATCGGAACGCAAACACCCCTAGTTAAAAGGTTGTTTACCAACTGCCGGTAAAAGTTATCACTTTCAATTTTAATGGTCGAAAATGGTATCCAATAAAATAAGGGAAGGTGACGACCATCGTGCGGGTAAACGTTTGGTAAAATACCCATAAGGCCCCTGAGTTATTTTGACAGGGGGTGAAAATGCAACAAATCAAACGTTAGGGGAAAGTTTGGAAATAGGCCTATTTAGCGGTGCTGTACAAAATTTATGGTGCACATCTTCTGTGTCAATCAACGGCATGCACTTCCCCGAGTACGATCCAACGGTGCATACCGATTCAACCCTCCATATATAGAAATACCCCCAAAAAATCTCATAAACCCTCGTTATCAGCTGCAAAAGCCAAAAAAGCCCTCTTCTAGGGTTTTATTTCATCAACGCACGCTCCGGAAAGATCAGCGTTCCAGAGGTACTTCTTTCTACCTTCTTTGCGTTCTTATCGATGTGTTATGAGATTAATCGAGTTTTTGGTATGTTAATGCATCATATGTGTGTGTGTGATTTATATACGTATGTGTTCACCATGGTTATCTACTAAGTTTGTTTCGGAGCTTGTTGTTCAAGTGTTATGAGGAGCCATAGGTCTGATCGTTTCATTCTTTTTGTTTAATTTGTGTTTTGTGTTTCGTCTAACTTGCTTTCAGGAATTGGTTTCCATCAGTGATAAATATAATTAGAAATGAAAATAAGTGTTGATTTCGAAAGGAAAAATGGGTGAAAACTGAAAGAAAAAAAAAATGGATAAAGTTCATACGGAGTGGTGAATGTTGTATTTTACATCCATGATGTTCTAGTGGTTCTTTCCGGTTGATTGTTGTGTTTATTAGTAGATATTAAAACCATTGAAGAACTGTCAGGTGTAGATTCTAGATTCAGGGTTCTGTTTTTTGTCTCTATTTGTTTTCTTGTAATTATGTTTTGATCTCCAAGTGGGGGTCATGACTACAAATAGGACTCAGACACTTATTGACAATACCCGATAGTACAACTGTGGAGACCAAAATGATAGGTTACGATTTTATGGTTAGATCAAACGTGCTTACTTTCGAATTTGTGGAATAAAATTGTGGAACTCAAGAAATGCAACTTGATTTTCTACTGTAAGTTTGTTTTTTTGCTTGCTCTGTAATGCTTATATAAATTAGAGTATGGAAGTCTATTACGTTACTCTGGCATGCCTGTTGGCTTGTTAAATTGTAATGGAATGTCTCTTTATTAACCCCTGATATGTTGTATTTTAGATTACAAAGTGCAACCATGGCTTTCTTCAACAGAGCTGGTAATATACTAAGGCAGAGTGTGAGTAAGCACATCAATCATGAAATGTCAGCGGCCAGTCCATCTATCTTTCAAATGATAAGATGCATGTCAAGTTCAAAAGTCTTTGTGGGAGGTAATCTCAAATTAAACAGGAAACAGATGGGATGTTTTTATTTTTGATCTTTATAGTGACGTTTCAGACTCTTGTTGTTGCAGGATTGGCATGGGCAACAGATGATATGAGCTTGCGGGATGCTTTTAGTCCGTATGGGGAAGTTCATGAAGGTATGGATGTTAATTTGAAGTAGAACAAGATGCATATAGAATTTGTTATGTGTTAGACCTGAAGGTACTGGGACTTCTTAGCATATTTTGTGATGATACTAGTTGAGAGAGTCCTGTGGGTCCAAGTGATTAGAGTTGTTTCTATGAATGGGTAACAAGTTTGAATTTCACCTGCAGATACAAATAGAATCTTTTGCATGTGACACTTTATGTATGCCACTTCTACAAGTATTATAGTCTGCATGATTTACTCTCAGTATCATACTACCGTCCGAAGGTTCCAATAACGTTATTGAAAATACTCTCAAATTTATGACTATTCAGTTAGTTATAGGGTTGTATATATTATTTTATTTGGCGGCAGCATAGACGATCATCTGCGCTAGTTTGCTTGAAAATCCTTTTTGTTTCTCATGGCCACAGGCCACTTGGTGGTTCTAGCTTTGTGGTGCTTGTCTAGGAAGCATGATGTTCATAATTATTAAGGCATTGCTTAGGTGACAAGAAGCGTGTTGGGAAGCAAATTTGATTATAAATGTCTTTGCTTAGGTTTGGGTATAGCAGGACTTGAACCTGCGACCATTAGGTTAAAAGCTCAATGCTCTACCAACTGAGCTATATTTTGCATGTACTTGATACAAAGATTTTGTTACTGCCATACTTTGTATTATTGCAGTGATAGCTTAATATGATATGAGGTTGATGTTACTTTTTCACCTGCTATACTACTGCTGAATTTTTTCATAAGGACTTCAACCTATGTTAATATCTCCTGATCCTAAATTGAATTATATTTTCTGAAAAATGCCTCATAGTTTCTTATGACATGCAACAGCTCGAGTGATCGTGGATAGAGAAACTGGCCGGTCAAGAGGTTTTGGCTTTGTTACTTATGCCGATTCCGAGGCTGCTTCTGCTGCAATCCAAGCGATGGATCAAAAGGTATTAATCCTGTTTCTTAGTCTTTTTGGTTGCTTGCTTTATTATACCCCCTGGTCCTGTGGAAATTGCAATGCTTGACTTGATGTTTATCTTAAGGCATTGGTTGGTTTTAATCAAAAGATCTTCATTGAAGACAATATAGATGGAACCTTTCTATTCAAATCAATAACTTTGATTTATTTGTAATGATAACGACAAATAAGTAATTCCATGAGAACTTTCAGAAATGTAAATGGTCTCATTCTCATGGAACATGAGTTGAAGCCCTCAGATCATGTTTGCTTATTTTGTTTATAGTAGACTGATGTATCTTCCCTAGTACTCGGTGTAAAAATCTTCTATGAACAAATTTTGCAGCAGTTGAGCGGCCGAACGGTGAGAGTGAACTATGCCAATGATAGACCACAAGGAGGTGGTGGTTACGGTGGCGGCGGCTATGGTGGAGGCGGCGGCTATGGTGGAGGTGAGGGTTATGGAGGAGGCGGTGGCTATGGAGGAGGTGGCAGCTATGGTGGAGGTGGCAGCTATGGTGGAGGTGGCGGTGGCTATGGAGGTAGGGGTGGTGGTGGCTATGGAGGTGCTAGTGTTGAAGGCTTTGGCGGTGAGAGCCAACAGGCTGCTGTGGGTGGTGATAGTTTCGGAAGTGGTGGATATGGCGGAAATAGTTATGGTAGTGCTGGCACTGAAAGTCAAAGCTTTGCCGGTGATAATGCTGATGGTGGAAACTCCTTTGCAGCTGATAATGGTCCAGTAGAAGGAAGCTACAGAGACAATGATGAGGCTGACGACTTTGCCAAAAGGGCTTGACCTCTATGGTTCAAGTTTAATTTCAACTGGACTGCTGTTTGCAGCTTATTATGGTCTGTTATTTTCATGTGTTTACTTTGAAGTTGCAATGTGAACTTGACTTTTTACGGTTTCAATCGGGTAAAAACTCCATTCATGTTTTGAGAACAAATTAGTGTTCTTGTGGTTTAATAGCATAAGATTGAGCTGAGTAAACGTTTCGCTTAAAGATCTTGCATTTCAACTTCAGTTTTCTGTTATTTGTATCTTGGATCTTTGGCTTCCAGGAAAAGAAAGCACTCTTGATTTGAGCCCATGCAACAAATCGTAGTTCAAAAGGAAGGGAAATGCTATTTTGGTTGACCTAAAAAGCATCGATTGGTTTATGGGTCATTTATCAAATGTTTACCAAGTAAATGTCGGTGGTGTCATTTGTCTCATCGAGTGAGTAAGAATAAAAGATATAACAAGGACTGAGAATCTTACTTGATTGCAATTTGCAAGTGTCTTCAACAATCCATTTTGATGACTAGGAATCTTGCCCGATATAGAAAGGTTGGTAACAAGATTAGCGATTATCTGGTAAGCATTTTGTTTACCCTTAAAAACTTCTTTATTAATTAATATTAGAAAGGTACTCACGTAATACAGTGAAATAAATCTTGATTTTAATGTTTAGTTTTTATTCTGTCTTTATTGATATAATGCGATTTTATGTGGTTTTGAGAAAACGGTCATGTTTTTATTTTTTAATGAAATATAAATTTGAAAATAAATAAATCGATGTTAGCATCAAATTAACTATTTAATTTAGATTTCATAATAATATAATTTTTTATAAAGATAATTATAACATTCAGTTAGAACTCGATAATTATCTTAATTATAGTTTAGATTTTTTATATTTAAAATGGATATTTATCATGAATTTGATTATGTTTATCTGCAGTTAATTATACGAATTTACAAATAGAGTTTTAATAAATTGTACTTACACACAATTCACTTGTAATCTTGAATTTTAAGTAATATGCATCAATAAACAGTATTTAACGCATAAAAAATGGTTTTTAAGAGTTTTTGTCAAATGCTTTATAATATAGTATAGATAACAAAATTTTAAAATATTCTATTTCGTACACATTTTGATTTGTAAAAAGCCGTTTACCAAACACTTACCCGGTAAGCGCTTACCGGTAAATTTAACACTATCATTTATTTACCGGGTAAGATTTTAGTCCACCAAAACGGTATTGTATGCAGCAATTTACTCGGTAAGCGCTTACCGTGGTAAGAGTTGTCGCCCTTACTTACCGGGTAAGACTCTCGTCCTTACCACCATATTCATCCGTAAGGTAATATAACTCGATGTTCACTTATCCGAGTAAGCATTTGGTAAACAGCCCCTAAGTTGTGACTGATCGATCTTGTAAAATTTGATGAATATACAAATACTCGTTTACAAAAAGTTTGCAAAACGTATACAAAAAAGACCATAAACCTCACACCTGGTCGTTTAACATCATAAATTGACAAGTCTATCAGTCAAAATAGGTAAAAACACAAAATTTTAAAACATTAAATAACTTCTCTTCTTAAACTTTTGTTATATTAATTGAAAAAAAAAAAAGAAATATTTGTTACATAGGATTAAGACGAAGTTGGTTATATTTTAATGCCCAAAACAACCCCACGATTAAAACCTAAATATATGGGAGTTTGTTCATTCTGAAAACAAAGCCCTTTGTGCATTCAAAACAACAGGTGACCCTTGTCTCGCTTTCTCCACAATATGCTTTATCAACAGTTTCTCCATCTCATCCTCTTCAAAATCATTCTCATCATCATCTTCTCCTCCTTCTTCCCTTTCCCTTTCCCTTTCCCTTTCCCTTTCCCTTTGATGATGAATGTGAATGTGTGGTGTTGATTCTTCCTCTTCCTCTTCCTCTGATTCATCAAACTTTGCAAACTCATTACAGGCCTCATTATAAGCATCTAAAGCTTCACCCGATAGATTCAAAACAACCGCCTCCTCATCTACGCTCAGGTTCTTTTCATCACTGCTCGACAAATCTTTCCAAGATTTCTGGTTTTTGCTTTGTATTTCTGCTTCCAGCTCTCGGATACGTTCTTCAAGTTGGGATTGAAGGACCTCATGCAACCGCAAGCTCAGTTCTCTAGGAGAAACTGTATAGTTTGCTGAATGTGTCGTACTGGTCCCATCTCGGTCGGTGTTACTTCGCGTATCTAGCGTGTCAGCCCTTAACTCACCCTCGACTATATCTGCCTCGAAGTCTGGATCAACCTGCAAAAAGCTCATGTAAATTAACACAAACTCGGTATATCCCACCTGAGGTGGGGTCTAGGATGGATAAGATGTACAAAGAGTAGGACGGTTGTTTCTGTGAAAACCCACAGCTTGTGAAAAGTGTAACAAAGATGTAAAATCCCAACCAATAGAGAATGGAAGGAGTGCTTAGAA